AGGTACTCACAGGCTTCTGCAGATGGGCTGGGAATGCTGGGAAGTTTGTAAGTAGGCTGCCAGGCCGCAGTCTCACTGTTTGCCCAGTTTTGTCGAAACAATCAACTTCGAAGTGAACTGAGCAGAGACGGTCGTTGTCCTTCGGTTTCCAGCAATCTCGCCGCACAGCACGTTCCCAGGCAGCACGCGCACTGCTTTCTTTGGGAAATCTGCAAACACGGGCAGTATGTAGCGCAGGTTTCATGCTTTAATTTGAACGTATTCACTGCTTTGACCTGCACGGAAGCATTACAGGAGCATATATGCAAACAGACTGCTAATGTTTGCAAAAAGCCTCATGCTTAAAGTGCTAAGAGAACCATAGGACAGGAAACAGGAGCAAGTTCAATACATGGGAGAACTGCTGTGAGCAACATGAATACACAGAGGAGCTCGACGACTTTACCAAGCGAAAATGAATTCACGCCAAATGTTGCTGCTTTGCGAACCCCCCCCCCCCCCCCCCCCCCCAAGCAAAGAAAAAGAAACGCGCGGGCTATTTAAATTAGCTGACCGGCGGCGAGCGTGTTAACTCCCTTTTAACGTGCACATAGGACCAACACGAGCAGCTGGCGGTCCGGGAAATCGCAAATAAGAGGCGTTTAGCGCTTACATTTGCTGGTTTACGCATGCACAGGAAAATGGAAGGACGAAAGATCATGCATACTTATGAGTGAAATGTTATCCCTGGCGTCTCACACGATGCGTGCACCCGAATACGACGCACGAACCAACCATAATCAGTTGAAGTGCTTTCAGCCTGGCGAGAAAGAAATCAAAACACACCGCCCTGCTGGAAATGGCAGGCCTTTTCCCATTGAAATGCATAGCCAAAACCAATGAGCATGAATGTGCAATTGGCGCCAATGAGAAAACCCTATGTTTTGCACATTGGTACCACTGGAAATGCTGCAGAGAAGCCGCAGCACGGGGGAAGGCACACGAAAAGGTTCAGGAGAAGTCAACTTTAGGGGGCAAGCGCCATGATGCCAATTGTGTCAATGTGCACGACACTCACTTTGCTCATTGCAGGCAGTGGCGTTATACGGCAGAGCCATTGTACGGAAGATAGCAATGGGCCATGCACTGCAGAGAAGCGAACTCGGTGCAGTACAGCATACAGTGACAATGCTGAATTTCCAAATTAGCACATGAAAGGCTAATCAACAACCCTATCGGTTTTATTTGTTACCTTTTTTGGTGACATGTGGTGATGTACGGGCTTTTTAATTTTAAATCAATCTTTTTTTTTTTTAATATGGCGCAAGTTACATGCAATGGCACTCAGATAAGAGGATAACTGTGATGATATGTTGACTAATTAACCGATATTTGTTACTGATGTTTGGCACATTGGTTCTATTGGGAATGCTGCAGCGAAGCTGCATCACAAAGGAAGAGGCAAACATAAATTTAGAAGAAGCCAACTTTACAGGGCTTTCACTAAGTTGCCACTGCTGTCAATGTGCACAGCACCCAATTTTCTCGTTGCAGCCAGTGGCAGAGCCATTGTACGGGAGATAGCAATGAGCCATGCACTGCAGAGAAGCAAACTCGGTGCAGTATGGCATACAATGACAATGCTCCAGGGATGGGCAGTATTTCAAATACAAGTATTTGAAATATGTATTTCAAATACTTTGTGTGTTTTGCATTTGTATTTAATTACAAATTGGGTAATGCATTTGACGTGTGTATTTAAAGGAGCTGTGCAACGATATTCAGTTGGAATGTTTTTCTCTCTACACGAGCTTACTGGCACACCTGGGACTCAAGGATACTCACACGCAACGCCATTGGCCAAGAAACTCCTTTGTTGCGGTGTAATTTCAAGGACAAAAGCGATCGTTTTCATTCAATCTCTCCTTTGCAAAATTTGATGACGTAACTCGGGGATCGCAGTACACCCAAGTGACGATATTTGAATGCGGTTTATAGATTGGACCCGAGCATCGCGTGGGCATTCGACTTGGGCTCGTGACAATTGCTAGCTCGAGAAGCATTCGGGTTGTGACCCGTGTCCAATCGCTGCAACGACGACAACAGCCGAGCCATAACAATGTCTGGAACTCAGCGCGTGTCCTCCGCTTTGCCAACCCCAGCGCGTGGCTATGATCAACACTGGCGGCATATAATCGGCTCCAGATCACGTGGCCGCTTGTTCTGGCTGCGAGTTGAGGGGGCAAACGCTGCTCGTTTTTCTTCAATTTTTTTCTGGGACTTCTATTGCGTGGGGTGAAAAACGAACGCGTGTTTCATAGGTCATTAACATTAGGGATCCGTTTTAAGCGGTATTTGCGCAAAGTACAAAAATTGTTGCATTGCTCCTTTAAATACTAAAACGTGGGTATTTCAAATTCAATTAAATACATTTTTGAGGGCGAAAATACATTAAATGCACTGTCCCGAGCAGGAAGAAAACTATGTTCTGCACCGAATGCAGTGTCTCTCAATCATGCACAAGCGTTTAGTGACTTCGTGATTACGGTGCTAATCCAGGGCAAGAATAGTGACGAAATCGACGTTCCCAGGCAGACTGGCTAAAAAGTGAATGTGACAACTTGTGATGCTTTCCAGCCTGATATCCATCCACATTTTTGCCTGGAACATTCTAAATGCGCGGGTCGTCCAGATTTTCGTAACTGGTGCGAGTTGCAACAATAAAAAATTATCTAGCTAGTGCTGCGCGTCTTGGTTCTTTGCTGGTCTATACCAAAATGTAATCGACAAAAAAAGGTGCTTGAAACTCTGTACTTTTTTCGCCTATTACGTCCAAGCTGATTACATTTCTTTGTGACTATATTTTTATTACGTTACAAGAGCCTCGCACACTAACTCCCAAGCGTGCGATGCAAAATTAAAATGAGATACCCAGAAACCCGTTGCAGGTGCCCTGAAGTCGCTGACGTAAATTTTGAGGACTGTATTTGGAAAAGTATTTGGAGGAGACCAAATACATTTGGTTGTATTTGTATCTTGTACTTAAATGCTTTTTTGGAAATGTAATTAGATTTGTAATAAATACATTTTTGACTAATTTATATACATATTTGCATGTATTTTGCTCCATTTTCAAATTAGCATATGAAAGGCTAATCACAGCCCTGCCAGATAACTTTTTTTTTGTGACATACAGGCTTTTTAATTTTAATTCAAACATTTTTTTTTTTAATATGGTGCGAGTTGCGTGGAATGGTACTCAGATAAGAGGGCGACTGTCATAATATGCTAATTAACCAAAATTTGTGACTGATATATGTGACACGTTGGTTCTCTTGGGAATGCTGCAGAGAAGCCGCATTACAAAAGAAGATGCAAACACAAATTTAGAAGAAGCCAACTTTACAGGGATTTTACTAAGTTCACATACAGATACCGAAGGACTGAGCCTGTCAGTGCGATGCTCATCCAACTCAACTTGGCACCATTGGAAGAATGAAGGAGAGTAGCCAGATTAAAACTGCTGTATTTGATACAAAACAAAAGGTGAAACATAGATTAATTAGCTAGGACTTTGGGGCGGTCATACTGAAATGCTGATGCCGATGAAAGCCCATGGATCGACATTTTTAAGTATTCCTTTTTTCCGAGAACCATAGCTGAGTGGAACAACCTCCCACAAGATGCTTTTGCATGTGACACCGTTGAAGGCTTTGAAGCCGGCCTGAGAAGCCTCGCCCAACAACACATATAATGTATTTTTCTTTATTTTCTGTTCTTTAGTTTGCTTATATTTATATACATTTAAACGCATCTGTGTCTAAATCATTCATGTGCATATCATTCGTGGAAGTGCACTTTAAAAATGTGGTTATTTCAGTAATAGTCCATTCCTGTAACGGTCAGGCCAACAGTATGAATAAATAAATAAAAAAAATTGTAACTGGTGTCAATGTGCACAGTACGCAATTTTCTCATTGTAGCCAGTGGCGCTATGTGGCAGAGCCATTGTATTGGAGACAGCAAAGAGCCATGCACTGCAGAGAAGCAAACTTCTACCTTTACAAGATGTCCCCTTCCCAAAAAAAGGAAAAAAAAAAAAGACTTTACTCGCTAACATGGCTCGCAAACTTCAGAAACTTACAATACCAAGTTGTAACTGCTCTCAAAAACGTATTTCCCTGATCACATTTTCGTGCTAAAATATCAAGTCTGATTTCCGAGTACAGAGGAAGTAAAAAAGAAAAATTGATTTCAAAATGGCGTAAAAAAAAACTGTTTTTTGTTTGGCGTATTTTTCCTCCATTGTTGAAACATATCTAAAAAGCAGTTTTTCTCTTTCTTAATACTCCCGAGTTGAAACTTCCAAATAGTAGCACGAAAATTTGACCAGTGAGACACTTTTGAGTGTTGTTAAAACTATTGTTAAGTGTCTGAGGTATGTGAGCCACCTTAGCGAGTAAAGGTTTTGGGGGGACACCCGGGACATAATGGGAATTAATACATTTTCTAAATTGAGACATATATACCAGTTGTTAAGGGCTATCATTTCACCAGACCACTTGACATCGCCCCTTTAATTTGTCAGTTCTCAGGCTCGTTTCAAATCATATAAGGCACCTTGTGGAAATTTTAATAAATTTTGTTTCGTAATCAGGCTGCTGCAACAGCTGAATTTTAGCCCAGGCCTGCATCTTCTTTCCAAAATCTAGCGCCTAAAATTAGCAGATGCCAGCTAATAGTTTCAAAATTTGATGAGTGAATGCATCCAACATCCATTGCAAAATAATCATTTCATTCTTTTCTTTTCTGTCATATTTCTTAATTTTTATTTTGTAAACCTTGTAACAAGCATGAAAGGACTCATATCGAATGCATAATATAAACACTCTTCATCATTATAACCATGAGCCCAACTGTTGAGCATTGCAGCAGTTGTTTCACACAACTAGCACATAGCCAAAGCTGAAGGAAAATTTTTGCAAATGGCCAATAAGACAAGAATATGTAGACATATGCAGTCAGGCCAGGATCAAAATTTTATTTGGGAACAGGTTTTTACAAGCTCTTATTTTTTCAGCAGAAAATACCACACTATTATTAATCTTGCTTGACCTATTTGAACTCCATGTCCCACACGTGGGTGATTTCGCATTAAAATCAACAGGCCGCCCCCCCCCCCCCTCAATGTCATTTAAAATCATCCAGCTACTCATTCCTTTTCGTATGGGTTAGGCAACAACGAAAAGTACTCGCCCCCTCCCACTTTTATATAGAGACATTTCACGTGTATGCTTTCAACAGGTACAACAGTCACTACATCGGAGACAGAACACTCCTTCACGTGGTGTACATAAAAAGGGGCTTCAATTTTATGTTCCTGAAACAGAATAACAATCTTCTCATTTAGACCTTCCTTATATGCTAATATCTGTATAATTTCTCCTACTTTTCCATTTTTCAATTGAACAAAGCTGTTATTTTGTCGCTTAGCCAATAGATACTCCTTGGAGTGATATATTTCGCCACTGATGGACACCTTCTTAAAAGCTCTTAATCGCTGTGATGGCAACCCTAAGCATAACGTATTAATAATCTGTGAAATAGCACCAAGCTTTCCTTTTCCTAAAAGCTTAACACGAGTTCTTGAAGCCATCGGTGTAAAATCCTGGTGACCCATACGTTTTGCGCAAAACTGACGAACCTGTTTGTCTTTTCCATACTTGTTGACAAATGTTGAAACAGAGCGATAAAGCAACAAATTCTTGGCTATTTGCAAGGGAACTTTACGGGTCCCTTTCGAAAGCTTTAAAAGGAAGCCATTGCCCGACTCGAACGGAAAGGCCGAATGTGCCCACAGCGGGCCCCACTCTTTGACACTCTTTGCCATATGCGAGAGAACATGAACATTAAAAGTCATCGCATGGGAACCATAAAGTTCTTGTACACCACATACAAACTGGGTTAATAAAATATCAGCCTCATTCACGCCACTTCTACTTATAGAGTTCTTTAAAAGAATATAGATACCATTTGACAGAAGAGCGAAGTGTTTCAGGTAACGTTCAGGAAGGCACCCTTTGAGACATGGTATGGCATAGTAGAAAAGCCAACATTTCCACTCTGATGCCTTCCACTGACACCGGTTGGTTAGTGACCTTGGCAAACGTGAAATGGACCTGGGAGGACGAATGTTCTCAAGGTTTCTGTCAATGAGATTCATTGTTCTGGGTGATCCAATGTAAAAGGGTTCCCGAGCAGATGTAACCCACATCTCTGTAATCTGTCTGGCAACACCCAACAGAACTGCATGCATATAATCTGGAACAAAGCCAGAGACAATACCAAAAGCTGGAATAGACAGGAGTGCAGATGGTCCTTTCACACCAAAGACAGTCTTGTTTTCAAGAAAAGCAGTTTCCATTTGCTGTTCCATTTCTACATCACTTCGATCAGAGTATGACTGTAGAGAGACTGGATAGCGCATGGCATTTTCAATATACTCTCCAGGGTGGTAGCACCAACTGCATCCATGATGCCCATTGAACTGTGTTGTCTTCTGCATGATAGGTCGTGCTACACTGTCAACACAACAGCAAAGTCCAATGACTTTGCTGTTTACAACTGTTCCATCATGCCTTTGCCACGAGAATCCCTCAGTTGCCAAACTGACCGCATCATCAGCAAATTTCGAGAAAAACATGTCCATGTTTGTGTCTTTTCCGCCACACCACAAACCGGCCAGTAATAAATTCTTTTGTCGCAAAGTCGGAGGGAGCTCATTTATCGTTACTTGAATTGGCCAAATGGACATATTTGATGATTTGAAGACAGATGCACCATCAGAATTAAATGTGTACGAAAGATTGTCTTCACTCGCAAGAATTTGACCTGGCTTTGAAAGTTGTTTGTACAAGACACCATCGTATATGTCCTCAATGTTAGATTGGTGTTCCTTCTTCCTTCGGAATCGATAATTCAGGTTGTTTTGAATATCAGGATTGCTTTCTAGCATGCGTTTCAGCTGGGGAGCCAAAGGCAAAGTGATAAAATAAGACAACTTTTCTACAAGTGCAGAAGTTTGGCACTGAGCACAAGTCACATGCTTGCTTAAAAGTGCGTCTTTTGTAGCAATATAGGCAGAGCAGTAGTTGCAATAGACATGGATCGACATCATGTCAGATGGTACGGAGAACAGACCATTAAACAGGTACTTTGAACCAGGCAGCACTTCACAGCCAAATGTTATGTTCAAAAGTTGCAGGAAGTCAACAAGAGCAGAAAAGGTGAAACGATGTTTGCAAAACAATGTTAAGATCATGAGAAGGACCTCAGCCACCATGGTCTTCGAGCACCTGCAGATTGGAGAACAGAGCTCTATGTTGCCGGGATCCTTTGTCGCAGCTGCTGGGCTGGATGACAGTACATACTGTGGCTCAGGCGTACACTGGAACAGAAAAGAGATCCATAACTAGGATTCCGTGTTTTTAAAGTTTATCTTTCGTGAAATTCGGAGGGTGTTTTTCGGAGTTTAGATTTTATCTGAAATTCTGCGTTTATCTGAGTTTATTTCTCGTAAATTGCCAATTCTCCGAAATTCGGAGCTTAGCTTCGCTGTATTTAACCAAAATTTTGAAATAAAAAACAGGCTCCGGTAATGAACACCTAACAATGCAATGAACCAAAGCGCTTCAAATATTTACAATGAGTGCAGCCCTGGAGTACTGCACTCGCTGTAAATATCACAAGGAATCAGCACTTACGTCCAGGTGGCTGCCAGGAGAGCCTTGGAGACAGTCACCTTTGTCGAGCAAGCAAGCCTCCTGAACCTGCGGCGAGTCGGGAGGTTCCGACAAATGAGAAGGCTGAATATGCAAAAGGGAGTTTCAAGCACCTCAGTCGCATCGAGCACTACTTTATCATGGGCTGTGCCTATAGAGGGTCTTCACAGAAGTCATAATAAATCGGCACTTACGTCCAGGTGGCTGCCAGGAGAGCCTCGGAGACAATCACCACCGTCGAGCAAGCAAGCCTCCTGGACCTGCGGCGAGTCGGGTGATTCTGACGACTGAGACGGTTGAATCTGCAAAAGAGAGTTCCAAGCACCTCAGTCGCATCACTCACTACTTTATCATGGGCTGTGCCTATAGAGGGTTTTCGCAGAAGTCATAATAAATCGGCACTTACGTCCAGGTGGCTGCCAGGGGTGCCTTGGAGACAGTCACCTCTGTTGAGCAAGCAAGCCTCCTGGACCTGCGGCGAGTTGGGTGGTTCTGACGACTGAGACGGTTGAATCTGCAAAAGAGAGTTCCAAGCACCTGAGTCGCATCACTCACTACTTTATCATGGGCTGTGCCTATAGAGGGTTTTCGCAGAAGTCATAATAAATCGGCACTTACGTCCAGGTGGCTGCCAGGGGTGCCTTGGAGACAGTCACCTCTGTTGAGCAAGCAAGCCTCCTGGACCTGCGGCGAGTTGGGTGGTTCTGACGACTGAGACGGTTGAATCTGCAAAAGAGAGTTCCAAGCACCTCAGTCGCATCACTCACTACTTTATCATGGGCTGTGCCTATAGAGGGTCTTCGCAGAAGTCATAATAAATCGGCACTTACGTCCAGGTGGCTCCCAGGGGTGCCTTGGAGACGGTCACCTCTGTTGAGCAAGCAAGCCTTCTGGACCTGCGGCGAGTCGGGTGGTTCTGAGGACTGAGACGGTTGAATCTGCAAAAGAGAGTTCCAAGCACCTCAGTCGCATCACTCACTACTTTATCATGGGCTGTGCCTATAGAGGATCTTCGCAGAAGTCATAATAAATCGGCACTTACGTCCAGGTGGCTGCCAGGGGTGCCTTGGAGACAGTCACCTCTGTTGAGCAAGCAAGCCTCCTGGACCTGTGGCGAGTCGGGTGGTTCTGAGGACTGAGACGGTTGAATCTGCAAAAGAGAGTTCCAAGCACCTCAGTCGCATCACTCACTACTTTATCATGGGCTGTGCCTATAGAGGGTCTTCGCAGAAGTCATAATAAATCGGCACTTACGTCCAGGTGGCTGCCAGGGGTGCCTTGGAGACAATCACCTCTGTTGAGCAAGCAAGCCTTCTGGACCTGTGGTGAGTCGGGTGGTTCTGAGGACTGAGACGGTTGAATCTGCAAAAGAGAGTTCCAAGCACCTCAGTCGCATCACTCACTACTTTATCATGGGCTGTGCCTATAGAGGGTCTTCGGAGAAGTCATAATAAATCGGCACTTACGTCCAGGTGGCTGCCAGGGGTGCCTTGGAGACAGTCACCTCTGTTGAGCAAGCAAGCCTCCTGGACCTGCGGCGAGTCGGGTGGTTCTGACGACCGAGACGGTTGAATCTGCAAAAGAGAGTTTCAAGCACCTCAGTCGCATCACTCACTACTTTATCATGAGCTGTGCCTATAGTGGGTCTTCGCAGAAGTCGTAATAAATCGGCACTTACGTCCAGGTGGCTGCCAGGGGTGCCTTGGAGACAGTCACCTCTGTTGAGCAAGCAAGCCTCCTGGACCTGCGGCGAGTCGGGTGGTTCTGACGACCGAGACGGTTGAATCTGCAAAAGAGAGTTTCAAGCACCTCAGTCGCATCACTCACTACTTTATCATGGGCTGTGCCTATAGAGGGTCTTCGCAGAAGTCATAATAAATCAGCACTTACGTCCAGGTGGCTCCCAGGGGTGCCTTGGAGACAGTCACCTCTGTTGAGCAAGCAAGCCTCCTGGACCTGCGGCGAGTCGGGTGGTTCTGACGACCGAGACGGTTGAATCTGCAAAAGAGAGTTCCAAGCACCTCAGTCGCATCACTCACTACTTTATCATGGGCTGTGCCTATAGTGGGTCTTCGCAGAAGTCATAATAAATCGGCACTTACGTCCAGGTGGCTGCCAGGGGTGCCTTGGAGACAGTCACCTCTGTTGAGCAAGCAAGCCTCCTGGACCTGCGGCGAGTCGGGTGGTTCTGACGACCGAGACGGTTGAATCTGCAAAAGAGAGTTTCAAGCACCTCAGTCGCATCACTCACTACTTTATCATGGGCTGTGCCTATAGAGGGTCTTCGCAGAAGTCACAATAAATCAGCACTTACGTCCAGGTGGCTCCCAGGGGTGCCTTGGAGACAGTCACCTCTGTTGAGCAAGCAAGCCTTCTGGACCTGCGGCGAGTCGGGTGGTTCTGAGGACTGAGACGGTTGAATCTGCAAAAGAGAGTTCCAAGCACCTGAGTCGCATCACTCACTACTTTATCATGGGCTGTGCCTATAGAGGATCTTCGCAGAAGTCATAATAAATCGGCACTTACGTCCAGGTGGCTGCCAGGGGTGCCTTGGAGACAGTCACCTCTGTTGAGCAAGCAAGCCTCCTGGACCTGCGGCGAGTCGGGTGGTTCTGAGGACCGAGACGGTTGAATCTGCAAAAGAGAGTTCCAAGCACCTCAGTCGCATCACTCACTACTTTATCATGGGCTGTGCCTATAGAGGGTCTTCGCAGAAGTCATAATAAATCGGCACTTACGTCCAGGTGGCTGCCAGGGGAGCCTCGGAGACAGTCACCTCTGTTGAGTAAGCAAGCCTTCTGGACCTGCGGCGAGTCGGGTGGTTCTGAGGACTGAGACGGTTGAATCTGCAAAAGAGAGTTCCAAGCACCTCAGTCGCATCACTCACTACTTTATCATGGACTGTGCCTATAGATCTGGTCTTCGCAGAAGTCGTAATAAATCGGCACTTACTTCCAGGTGGCTGCCAGGGGTGCCTTGGAGACAGTCACCTCTGTTGAGCAAGCAAGCCTCCTGGACCTGCGGCGAGTCGGGTGGTTCTGAGGACCGAGACGGTTGAATCTGCAAAAGAGAGTTCCAAGCACCTCAGTCGCATCACTCACTACTTTATCATGGGCTGTGCCTATAGAGGGTCTTCGCAGAAGTCATAATAAATCGGCACTTACGTCCAGGTGGCTGCCAGGGGAGCCTCGGAGACAGTCACCTCTGTTGAGTAAGCAAGCCTTCTGGACCTGCGGCGAGTCGGGTGGTTCTGAGGACTGAGACGGTTGAATCTGCAAAAGAGAGTTCCAAGCACCTCAGTCGCATCACTCACTACTTTATCGTGGGCTGTGCCTATAGAGGGTCTTCGCAGAAGTCATAATAAATCGGCACTTACGTCCAGGTGGCTGCCAGGGGAGCCTCGGAGACAGTCACCTCTGTTGAGTAAGCAAGCCTTCTGGACCTGCGGCGAGTCGGGTGGTTCTGAGGACTGAGACGGTTGAATCTGCAAAAGAGAGTTCCAAGCACCTCAGTCGCATCACTCACTACTTTATCATGGACTGTGCCTATAGAGGGTCTTCGCAGAAGTCATAATAAATCGGCACTTACGTCCAGGTGGCTGCAAGGAGAGCCTCGTAGACAGCCACCCCTGTCGAGCAAGCAAGCCTCCTGAACCTGCGGCAAATCGGGAGGAGGTTGAATCTGCGAAAGAGAATCCCAAGCACCTCAGTCGCATCAGACACTACTTTATCATGGGCTGTGCCTATAGAGGGTCTCCAGAGAAGTCATAATCAATCGGCACTTACGTCCAGGTCGCTGTCAGGAGAGCCATGGAGGCCATTTCCATGGTCCAGAGATTCGGTTCTGCAGGGCTCTGGCAAACAAAATGGTCCTGACAACCTAGGAAGCTGCGAATAAAATATATTTTCAGTTTCTTTTCATAGTTAGACTTACAAAATAAGTAACAACTGAGCGGCATACCCTAGTTTGCATTCGCCAGAATGTAGCACGAGGCACCTCAACCGAGGCGTTTGAGTGCAAATATTGTTTCCGGGATGTTACTGTGTCCTATGAGAAACACACAAAATATAAAATAATGCACCATGACGTTTAGCCAGTTTACAAATTGATAAAATAGAACCAGACTCACACGAGACGATGTTGGTACTTCTTGCACTGAGGAGAATCTCGATGACTCTTCGTCCTGGAGCTAAGGAGCAGAAGATCACCTTGTTCACCCCTCTTGAATACTTATATATATATATTCAAAATATTTGAGGTGTTTCAATGCTTTATTCATATATAAAGCCCTGGAGTTTTATAACATGAAAGTGCTTACCTCACGCTGACTGCCATTTCGTGACTGTATATACTCATCATTGATGTCAAGTTCACCAGCCTCTGGTGAGAAAGCTCCCACTGATGAGCTAGCAACCTGTGACTTGAAGGAAAACAAGCACATGCAAATCACCTCCTAAAATACATTCTCTGCTTTATCGGCTCTTTAGCTGCAGTAAAATGACTCCAAAAGAATTACCAAGAAGCATTCATGAATTATATGCAGATTTTTTTTCCAATTCATCTGATCACAGAACTTCTCGACATGCAGCTAGTATTACAAAAAGTTTTCTTGAAAACAATCGAGATTCGCATGTTGCAATGTGAGATACATTGTATTTTTGAATCAGTGGCATAATATGTCGAAACCACATACAGGCTTTTCTTTTTAGTTCTTTACAGAATTTAAACAAAAAAAAAGAAGGTTATAGCTATGTGAACGCCATATTCATGTATGTTTGTAGGGCTCGGCAGACATTAGATGATGAGATAAACGTTACAGTATGTTACATGATTAACAAATTTTCTTGATTAACTTTTTAAATAGTGGTTTGATGGGCCTAGTTGCAATAGCAGTTTTAAAGGGGGCCATCAATAAAGCCAGCCAAATTGACACAGCTTCTGGAGAAAAAAGCTCTGAGATATTCATAGTTAAAACTTTGCCTTTCTTTACTTGATTTAAAACCGCATGCTAAAGGGTGCGCCTGATTATGATGCGTAGAAGAGAGACGCATCTATTTCGGGTCCATCGTCACTATCTCGACAGCATGTCTTTGGTCGATGAGCTGGTGTAACACTTCCAAGATAGTGACGGATACACAGAAGTAACTATAACACTCTTCTATATCACTCTGCTACTAAAGATTTAATAACAAAGAAATGAATGTGGGACAGATTCTTTTATATAGAAGCGGGACACATCAAGCAATAACATTTAGATTTCTGGAATCCTTGTGGGATGTATATCAAATTTGCCCAACTGATGCCCCTCCCCTCCCTATCACCTGCTTCTCCAAACATGCCAGTGCAAAGCAGCAAAGCTGGCCGGCCGCGCGCGCCGAGGAAAGAGATGGAGATACGCAAGGCACAGAGACTAAATGGAAAGCAACCTGAAAGGGCCGAGCACAAGACAAGACATGCGCCTCGGCCTGTGTTCGTTCCATTGTTGTTGCTTTCCTTTTTAATTCATGTGACTTTACCAACAAGGGCAAAAAGGAAAAAAAAAAGATTGGGAAATAAGGAAAAGGAGGGCAGCTGCAAAAGCAACGCAGGTCAACCCCTTTCTTGGGCTGCATCGTGTGAAGATGTTTGCACAAAACAAAGGGAAAGAAAAGGCGACAAACAGGAAATTAAAACATATGTTTCTATGGAAGTTAAGTTCTTTCGACATTCGTGCGCGAAGAGGCAGGAAAAGCTTAAATATAAACCGGAATCATGTCAACAAGGTATTGACGTCAGCAATAAGAGGGAAAGTGCTGTGGGTTTCGTACTAGTTTAATCCATTGCTTATTAAATAACTAAGTTTTTTTGTTTTTTTTTTATTGTGTTTAGGGCCACCCTTCATTGCGTGTAAATCATATAGTTAAAGGGCCTCTCCAATGATATGCTTTTCTTTGCACTCCCTGCTTTTTTAGTGGTTCAGGAGACACAGGGAATTAAAACAAAACCACAAAATAATAGTGCTTTATACTTTAATTTGACAAGGCACGGAACACTTGGATGTAAGGTGGCACTGTGTGGTGCTAAACGTGCGTGGCTGATGACGTTGAGTAACCTAGCTTTCTTATTAGCTACAGTCATCAAACGTTGCCCCCGAGCATGGAACAACGTACTGTGTTCACCATCCTAATTCTTTCAGTTCGTTTTTATCAAGTTTTGTGAGTGTTGAACTAAACAAATTGAGTTGAAAACTGTGGAAACAACTAGGAAACCACCCAGTTGACGCGCCCCACCGAGGAGCGGTGCCACAGTCCCAGCATTGCAGGCTCCTGATATCTTAGAGTCATTTTTCTTGCTTTTCTAATTTTAATTTGCCCATAACGTATGAAATAATGCAAATTTTGTAAAAAAAAAATGTTTCTTTGTGATACTACGCTGTCTGAGGTCATCCTCGCTGCAGGTTCCAAACCAGTCAAAAAAATCGTTGGAGTGGCCCTTTGGAAATTGGTTCGAGGAGAGTTTTAGATTTGGGCATGCGGCACTGTCAATTGCACACCACAAAGATGCCAGAATGCGTGGTGTACACATGCCAAGCACATATCCAGGGGGTGGCACTTTCACCCCCTCCTCCTCCTCCTCCCTGAAACAAAACTCTGGTCGTCCTGGCTACATGCCTGACAAATGCAAATAGTGTCAATCTCAGTAATCAGTGACACCGGCATGTTGCCTGTTTTGTCTGTCTTGGTTTAGGATTGAGTGCTTGCATAAAAGGAAGCAATCGGAAGTGGTAAAACTTGGTTCTTCAGGCAAAACACAAGAAAGCTCCAATGCTGTACGTTTTCGCACTGTGTCGCACAGTGAACGTTCAATGCACTTCAGCCTCTATTGTGCTCAAGTTGACAACTCTCTGCATATAGCATGAATTTAGGGACCGAGACAGACTTACTTGAGTCAGCAGTCGTCTCAATGTTTCTCTAGGCACTTTGGCTGAAGAATGTGGCTCAAGATATTGCTTGCGGCGCTTCATAATCCTATATAAAAAAGAACAGTCAGAAAATATAACAAAATATTTATCCCCACGGTGCGGAACGACTTTTAGCTATACACCAACGTGCAGGGGTGCACTGTCTACAAACACGGCCGGAGAGCCATGCACGGTAGAGGCATGTGCAAGAGCGACTGCTCTTGCCGTGTTTTCGCTATTGCGTTGCATCATGTATATTCGCTCGCTTGCGCTTCTGGCGTGTTTTAACTCAATTTCTGCGGGGTTTTTTTTGCGTAACAAGTCATGTCTGACTCTTAGCGCTCATTACCAGAGCCCGAACGGCAGCAATACAACGGCAAACTGTGCATTAACAGTGCTACGTCCCACCGTCGATCTGTCAGCCAGGGTGTCTGCCAACCTGGAAAACATGGAATTCTCAGGAAATTTTGCATTATCTACAGAAGTCAGCGAATAATCAAGGAAAATGACTAGTGAAAGTGCCACGGTGGTGCGGAACAAAGTTTGACGGTTCCGCATCAGTACGGCCATACTAAATAATGTTGCCGAAATGTCATCCTTAGACCCAGAAACTGTCAAGGAATATGGTCAGGGAAATCTGGAAAAGCTCAAGAATTTGAAATAGCAATTTGGTAGACACCCTGTTTAAGATTCAAGGCACGATTGTATCGAGCAACCGCCGAACGCAGTAAGAATGAAGTCCAGGCAGTCTGATTCAGACAACTGTTTGTCTATGGATAGGTGTGCCACAGTGCTGGGAATGGAGATTGCAGAGGAAGCTACAACTGCTACAGCTTACCTCCAACGAAGTGCTTGCCACACAAGCGATCGTCCGTACGCGGCAACCATTTTTGTGATCTACGCTGTTTATCCACCTTCTGCGCCTGTCAGGGTTCACGGGGCACTTGTGGAAGCTTATTCCGCTACTTTTGGAGTACCTTTCGGCACAATCAACATCCACACAGCTTTGCGGCACGCCAAAATGCTATGTAACACATGCAAGCTGTCCACTATTTTGCCCACACCTGGCACACCTGAGTCAGTTCAACACAATCGCAGCGCCGCCGCAACTCTGTGCATCAAACTCGTGCGCTGCTGTATACGTCGTTTTCAGATAAGAACGAACGGCCACGTCCAGTGACCATTTTTAACTTTGATTAAAAATATATATTTTGCTGACTCAGTGTCCAGAAGGACAAAACATCTTATTTAAGTGAAAAAAAATTTTGACTTAAGTGAGAAAAAAAGTTAGCAGCATCCCCTTCAGTCTGAAGCACTTTCTCCCGATTGCGCACCATCGGGAACCCACCCTCCCCACCCCCACCCCACCCCAAAAGAGTTGTGGCTATATGACCTAAATATTTTCTGTCATATTATGCGTGGGGAGGATTAATTCAAGGTATTTATCACGGACTACCGCATATATATATATATATTATATTTTTTAGATCATACATCTGTGTCCGGTCAACATTTTTGCTCTTTGTATTTTGATATCTTACTCCGTAATGTGTGGAGGGAACAAACTCACGAAAGTGTTTGCAAGAAAAATACTATTTTGTGACGAAAATAATTTAAGACAGAATCAAGGCGGCAACCCCGCTATGCCATTTCGTCAAGCTTGATGACACATAAAGACTAAGTACAAATAATAGAAAACTAAAATATTTTATAGAAATTCTAGCTTATAGTGACTACATTATGATGGACACTAACTAATGCAAAATATTTTTCATTAAAAAGACAACAATTTGCTGTAAAATAAGTTACTCAAATTTGAAAAAAAAAAATCAAATTATATAATTTTTTTTAATTGCACCTTCAAGCTGCGGAAAATTTCACATTGGGACATTATCGAAGCCCTCTAATAATTTTTAATTTTAAGCTAGGGCAATAATTTATATAATACTGATAGATGTTTTTGGGGAGAATACGTGAGAAGATCCACTGCTATATATTGTAAAACTTACAATAACAAATTTCAAATATAGAGTAAACACATAAAACTACCCAAGTATGTGAGCTTTGAAGTGCTATAGTTTTTTGACAGAAACAATATATTGCGGCATGTTCTTTTATGAAAGCACGCGCCGATGTGGAGTGGAATACTTTATCTGAATTCGAAGATTGAAAATATTTTTTTGCCCATAGAATTTGAGTAACTTTTCACTTCGGGACATGTTTGAAATACTGTAACTATTGTTAATTATACATTATAACCCCAATTTATACTTAGCTGACAGACCCTGTTTGAAAGAGCACATCAGAAAATGCTCAATAATCAAACTCCATGATATAAAAAAATAATGAATATGAGGTAAAAACTCTCTACCAAGATTATGCATTTGCGACACGCAATATATATTTTTCTTACTAAAATGGACAGTTGGGCAAGTTGGTAAGAATGCATGATGTAAAAGCGAAAAATGCAAGGACAAAGAGAACTCTGTTTTTTTTTTCTTAATACAATAGTTGGTACAGTCTGCACATTGTCCTGTGTCTTCTCTTCTCTTTGTCCTTGTATTTTTTGTGCTGTTTTCCATCCTGAATATATTTTTCACAATTCTATGAATATTTGTGAATGTGGTCACCATAGGCTATTTCTATCAAATATTTGATAAGATTGCTGCCTTGCTGTAGTTTTTTTTTTTTTTTTTTGCGAAATTTCTTTTTTTTTTTTTTTGTTTTAGAAACCTTTGTGGTCTCATTCTACAGGGTGTCACAAAAGAAAATTTACACGGTCTTTTTTACCGCAAAAATAAACTAGGCATCGCCGAACGCTCATTCTCCGCCCAAAGGTAGAAAAAAGCTAGAGGTCACAACCAGACAGAGTTTGGTCAGTCTATGATCTCGCCGCCGAAACGCTCTCCTCCCGAGTGAGCCAATCAGCACGCGGCGTAGAGCGAGAGGCGTGAGCGCATGCGCGTGAACTCCCGGCCGCTCCCACCTGAGCGGGGAGGACCGCCATCTTCAATCATTCTCCCGGCGTAATGCGTGGGATCGGCATCTAAATCTCGATTATTGCCTTTTATATCGCTGGCTCTGGCAAGAAAATGACATTCTGTTATTCCTCGGTGAGTTAAAAAGCTAATAAATTAAGATTTTTCGGCGTATGGCCACAAACTTTTATTCAGGCGAAAAAGAAGTCAGCCCGTAGCAGACGACGCGTAGCCTCAGCAGTGCTCTTCTAAGACCAGTCTCCGACAGCGTTGCTAAAAAATGGCGGTCGTCTCCTCTCTGCTCCCTTCTTTCTCTCTCGCTCCTTCGGTGCTTTCCTTCCTTCCATTTACTTTTCTCCTCTCCGGCGCCTTCGTCGCCACACCCACTGGCCAAACTCTCCCAATATACGGCTCTGCAGCCAGATGCCAAAGTCTTCTTTTCTGGTTTTCTGAAAATTTCAATGGGAAAATGAAGCCCATTTTTGCCCGTTTTCGGTTTCTGGTGCTATAGAGCCCCATGTGTTCGAAAACTCCGTCGGCCGCCATTTTCCCATTGAAATTTTCAGAAAATCACTTATAACTTTTGATTAAGTTATCGGATCGGGCTGAAACTTTGGCATCTGGCTGTGACCTCTAGCGCGACATTTGGGCGGAGAATGAGCGTTCGGCGATGCCTATAGTTTATATTTGCGGTAGAAAAGACCGTGTAAATTTTCTTTTGTGACACCCTGTATTTACACATTGGGAGTAACATATAAAGATATTAAAAAAGCAAATGTAGACCAGACATACATGCATGATCTTATCTGAACAGACCTAACTGTAACCATGTTTTAAATTGGTCATAATGAAGCCTCTGTATTTTGAATTCGAACGTTTAAGTGTCATAAAAAAAAATATATAAAGATAGTGACGTACCTCTTCTCAAGTATGGATAGGTACCAAACCTGCCCATTCATTGCAACCACAGTAGCGTCAATTTGTCCAGTTTTGTTGGCTTATAAATTTATAGGTTCACAAATATTGCATCATGTTTTTACACATCGTGCTGATGCATATTATAAGCGTTGATTTGGACGAGATAAAAAAAATCGAAGATCGATGGGCTTTTTTACAATTACGTTTAAACTAGCGCGTATTTCGTAAAATGTCCCTTTTTGAGTGCTTCCCGTAGATTTCTCCTGCTAACCAAAACAACAATATTAAGCTCGACAATTAACGGCATAAAGGCCAACACGCTGGCAAAGTTTAAAAATCCTGACTTTTCTGAGATGCGAAGGAAGAAAAAAAAACCTTAAATTCTAACATTGTGTTTCAGTGCAGTCTTTTCGATGTTTGGTTTCAAAATAACGACGTGGTTAGTCCGCGATAAATACCTTCAATCTTCCCCATGCGTAATATGAAAGTAAATATTTGTAGCCATGTAGCGACAGTATTTTTTTCGGCGGCAGGGGATGCCCGAACTGCCAATGTTAAATAACGGAGAAAGCACATTTTCAAACTGAGGCGGTGCTTCTGATATTTTTTTTTCCACAAAAAACTTTTTTTCTCCACGTAACTAAGATTGGTTTTGTTCGCTTGTGCGCTCAGTCAGCAAAATATATATTTTTCATCAAAATTAAAAATGGTCGCCGGACATAGTCACTCATTCTTATCTGAAAACGGACCTCTACAGAAGCGAAACTCCTGCCCACCCAGCCCTTACAAAGGGCTGGGTGTGCAGGAGTTTCGCTTTTATAGAAACTCACTGGAAATGATCGAGCTTCAATAGAAACTCTTTGCGAATTTCTGTGAGGACGTGGTTCTAAGTAAAACACGTTTCAAGCCAGGCAGGTCACGGAGTTCGAGAAGCCGCGTACGCAGAAGATGCTTTGAGAACACATAAGAACTCACCTCAAGAGACGATCTCGAACGAACGCACGAAACGATTAAGTTTTTTGTTTTTTCTACAACCAAGTCTCGATGTCACGTTTAGATTTCACAGAATGCACGGACTCACTCCTTCGTCGCCAACTCCACGTGTATAACCGCCATGTGAGAAGCCGTGCGTGAGAAATGAAGGGATACTCAGACACTACGTAGTTCACTGTGCCGCAAGCGCGAAGGCGCGAAGGGCGCGAAGTGGCGAAGTCAGCTAAGTCTTGAGAGCTGCTGGAAGACGTGGTACGGGAAAAATCGTTAATGAATCGAAATTGATACACACAAAGTAATTATTAATATATCTACGCAAATCCAATAATGTGTATAATCATGGAATGATGCACCTCGGCCCGCCTATGAGGCGTGCCTGAATGACGAATGGCACCTCCGGGCCTCCGGGACGCGGCCAGACCAGACGACGCACGACGCGAACGACGCTGCCGACGCGACCTGACACGACTGCGCACTACGCACCGCGCAGCTCCACAACCGCAACTGGAACCGTTGGCCTGGCGCAGCTTGGCTAGAGCACGCGCGTCTCCGCGGTTTTTTCGCGATTCCAGTGAGTACACATCTTATCGACTGTGCCTGCAGTGGATTGCTCCTTGTAACATCACGTTGGAACATTGTCACGGCACCAGTAAGTAAGATTTTGGCGTTATCTGTCCATGCGGGTCGCTCGTGAGCTAGGCCCAACGGCTTTCCTCGCAATGGCGGCATAAGAGCCTAGTTTAGCTTAGTGCGAACGTGGGAGTTGTGTGCGATTTTTAATAGGCTATAAGGAGTATTCACTGGGTGCCATATTTGTGGGTGCTGTTTAGAGTGCATGCTCAGAACGAACCCACAGTTCGTTCTGCGGAATCCACGTTACAAAAGAACTGTGGAAGCTCGCCATCAGCACGCACTCAGCAGTCGCGCACACAGCTGTGGCCGCCAGTGAATACTACCTATACTTCGTCTCACCTTAGTATGGACTATTGTTGTCCGCACGTGCTAAAGGCGAGAGCTAATTGCTTTAAAAGAAACCCCGGCGGATGCACAAGCTCTCGTGCTACGCGAGCACCAGTCAAGGCTACTGCGTGTCGCGCTGGTAGCTGGAGCCTCGCGGTTAGTCCATGCTAAGCTAAGACA